GTAAATGCAAACTTAATGGTTATGACAAAATTACGGACGTCCAATCCTTTAAACTCAATTCCTAATTGTTATTCTAATTTAATTTCAATTTCATCAATCTTGACCACAAAAATCTAATTTTGACTTTTTTTCAAACTTTTCTTTTTATGCCGCCAATTTCCCGCGTTGATTTTTTTTTTTGGTAACTTTTTTTCCGCCCGCCGCTTATCGTGAACATTAGTACTCCTGTTGCTGGCAGCAAAATTACTGTAAACACTATAATATTACTGTCTTTTGTCTTTTTATTTCGCTTGCCCTGACACGTTCAACGTAATAATATTACTATCTTTGACAATAATATTAAGTAACATTATTGTCTTTGACAAAAATATTAAGTAATATTACTGTCATTTACAGTAATATTACTGTTAACGACAACAATATTAAAATTTTTGACCTTTTATTCTGTTTGTCTTTGTTGGCATGTTAACATAATATTATTATCACACTATGATTTATTATGTAATATAGTGATTTTGTTGTGTTAATATTACTGTGCTAGATAGTACTATAGCAATATTATTGTGTTAAACAGTAATAGTTAATATTATTGTCAACCACATTGATATTAGTATTTTTACGGGGGCAAAAAAATATTATGGAAAAAAAAAATTAAACAAAAAAGGTCAACGACAACAACAAATCAAAATGGAGTCAAAATTGTGTTTAAGGGTCAAAGTTGAATAATTGATAAAATTATGATCAAATTAATGTTAAATTGATAAAACTGACGTCAAAATGGAATAAGAGATGAAATTGAAATATAATAAATGTGAGGGGTATTTGAGTCTTTACCACACCTCTGACCTTTATATGAACTTTATATGAATTTATTGATAGTAGCCCCTTAATAAGGTGATAAAATTGAGGAAATACTTTAATAAAGTCTCACATTGGATAATTCAGATTTCTTGCCTACATAAATTCAAGCTTCATTCATATGATAAAACTGGATCATAAATTGTTCGTTTCTTGGCACTTTTGTTTAGATTGTTGTAATATCTGAACTTTAATGATTCCATTCTTTGTTGGTTTATTTCACCTTTTTTCATCTTTTGAAGATACTCCAACTTTGATTATTCTTTTTTCCTTTCGGATAAGCAATATATACATCTTTTTATCTTTTATACCACACCCTTATTTAATTTAAATGAGTTGAGATCGACCTATCGAAAATTGTAAATGATTCGAATCGAGTTGAGCTCAAATTCAACTTATTTGAAGAGATTAAACACGGTTCATCGGAACGGCAAGAATATAACAGGAACGGTGCCCTCCATTCTGAAATCCCTATCAAAAATTATTTTGGCATCGTGACGGAACGGAACATTGGGATAACGGTGTGACGGGCGAGACAGAGCCACAAAATGGCTGTGTCGTGACCGGAACAGCTGGAACATAAGACAAAAATAAAATTAAAAAAATCTGAAGGAGGATCAATTTGAGTAAAAAATAAATAAAATGTTTACAAGTTGGCGTATATGGTATAGCTTATAAGTTTTTGAAAAGTGAAAATGAGCTCAATCTCAATTTATTCACGCTCAAGCTCGAACATGAACTGTATCGTTGAACTAATTCATATAATTTACACTTCTACCCTCATTCCATATCGAATGTATCATTAACTCAATTTACTTTGAAAAAAAAAAGAGAGAAAAAGAAGGTTGTATAGTATCTATATTGCTTTCTAAATAAGTAATGTGTATGATCAATCAATTTCACTAATCACTTGAACATGATTACTATAAGTTTACATCTATGTAAGTTGATTGGAATATAAATCAATGCAAGTATTCGATTAATTATTTGCACATACGATTTTTTATTGTGAAATTTCCATCTTGTTGAAGATAAGAAATGGCCAATCAACGTGATCGTGCCAAGAACTCCTAATTGATCTTATAGGTTATTACGCACTAATTTTCTTTTAAGGGGTCTTTACAAATAAGCTCATCAATTGGTACTTATTTATAAAAAGATCAAGACAAAAAACTTCTTTACCAATAAGTCCACACATGGTCCAGATTTTTGTAAAGGACTAAAATAACCCCCATACTTTAATATGCTCCAATTTCATCCTTAACTTTATTTAACCTCAATTTGACCCAAAATTTCACAAATTATTCAATTTTGACCCAAAACTTTTTTTTTTCCAGCCGGATTCCGGCGTTGACCGGCTGGCTGTCAACGCCGGTCTCCGGCGTTGACTTTTCAATTTTTTTTTTCTTTTATTTTCTATCTTTCTTTAACCTTTTTTTTTCGTTTAAACAGCAATATTACTGTGATTGACAGTAATATTAACTATATTACTGCTAAACACAGTAAAATTAAACTAAACTACAGTTGAACACAGTAATATTGCTATATTAATCTCTAGCACAGTAATATTAACATAACAAAACTCATTATTATTGTGTAATAGAGTAATATTACTATGTTGACCGTTCAACAAATGTAAACATAATAAAAAACCAAAAGAATTAATATTACTGTGAGTGACAGTAATATTACTATAACAACAGTAATATTACCGTCAACCACAGTAATATTACAATAATAGACAGTAATATTATTACGTTACTCCATGAATAACACAAACAAACAAAAAATCCAAACAAAATAATAATATTGATGTGGTTGACAACAATATTACTATAACAACAGTAATATTACCGTCAACCACAATAATATTATTGTGTTTACAGTAATATTACAATAATAGACAGTAATATTATTACGTTACTCCGTGATAACTTAAACAAAACAAAAAACCCAAAAAAATAATAATATTGATGTTGTTGACAGTAATATTATTGTGTTTACAGTTATTTTACTGTCAACGATAGTAATATAATAACGTTGACTTGTCAACAAATCAAACAAAATAAAAAAAAACAACAAAAAATAAAAAATAATAATATTACATTAATTTACTGTCAACGGCAGCACAATTACATAAATGTATTGTCAATGGCAGTACAATTACGTTAATTTACTGTCATTGACAGTATAATTACGTTAATTTACTGTCAGTGACAGCACAATTACGGTCAACGTTTAGCGTCGGACGTAAAAAAAAAAAACAAACCAAAAAAAAAAAATACTTAAAAAAACACTTAAAAAAGTCAATGCCGGAGACCGGCGAAAAAATCCGGAAGAAAAGAAAAGAAAAAAGCAAAAAAAAAAAAAAAGTCAACGGCGTTGACCGGCGGTCAACGCCGGAATCCGGCGGCAAAAATTTTTTTTTGAAAAAAAAAATGTTTGTGAAAAAAAAAAGTTTTGGGTCAAAATTGAATAATTTGTGAAATTTGGGGTCAAATTGAGATTAAATTAAGTTAAAGGATGAAATTGGAGCATATTAAAGTATGCTCCAAAAAAAAGTCAAAATTGAATTTTTGTGGTCAAAATTGGATTTTTGTGGATAAAATTGATTAAATTGGGGTTATAATTAAGAATTTGGTATAAATGGTTGAGGGTAATATTGAGATATACACGAGTGTTTCCTTTATTTATAATAAATATTAATGAGATGAGCTTATTGGTGAAAGAGATATAGCCCCTAAACCTAGAATAATAAATATGCTTGGTTGGGGACTTTATCACAAAAACCCCTTCTTTGAAAAGCAAAAAGAAGAAAAGTATCAACCAAACGGACATCTAAAAAACTTCAAAATCTAAATAAACACATATATTTAATACTATAAAACAATAATTCTCTTTATTTTTCGTTTTTGTTTTATTTTTTTTTTGTAAGAGACGATTATTACAAGGCCGGTTCTGACTATAGGCGAAAGAGACGGTCGCCTCGGGCCCCGATTTTTAGAATAAATTAGGGGGACCCCAAATAATATTTTATACTCTTTATATATACTAGTCATAGTACTACATGATATTTTAAAATAATTAAATAAACAGTTCAACAATTTGAATAACCATAAAAAAATTCGCTTATCATTGCATTTGATGTGAATGAAATGTCTTAGATCAATTATAATTAAATAGATATTGAGTTCTTCTATCAATCTATTTCAAGATTTTAAACTTTATTTTTCAGCAATCTTTGCATTTTTAATATTATTCTACGTAGTTTAACTCTAATTTAAAAGAGTTTCGGCAAGTTGAAATATACTATATTAAAAAAAAAATATACATATGTTTACTTGTTCAATGATATTTCTATGAATAATTTCAAAAAAACTTCGGAGCTCTACCCCGAACCCCGTAAACTTTCGGTTTACCTTAACTTCATCTATATTTTAGTTATATTTTTCCTCAAAATTTTAACTACTAATCAAATTCTTTTTGTCCGGCCGTGCTCCTTGAATGATTTAATGTGTAAATTATCCTATACATAACAGGAGTCCATTTTTATAAATTCTTAAAACTCGCCTAGGGTCCTTAATTTCTCTAGAACAACCGTACGAACGAACCCCCAACCAACCATATAAGTTCACTGAATAAACCTACACTTTCGTATAATAAATTACAAATTACATAAAAGATGTAAATCACACTAAGTTAACCATATATAGTTTAACCATATATGACAAATTCTGATAAGGAGTTATAAAATTGTAATTTGAAAGTATAATAACAAATGCGCTTCATGCACAAAAACCTCCCCGAAATTAATTCCTACCACATGTTTGAAGAGATATTCGCATGCATATTCTCTTCAACCTCTTTACTCATTCTGTGTGGTACCATAAAAATTCCCTATAACAATTATTAATATCAAAAAAAAAAAAAAAATGCCACGTGTCACTAGATTCTTCATTTTTTGGTATGGATATTACACTTTGTAAACATAGATACTTTTCCATCTTCAATTTACAATAATTATATATATGAAATTATTAATAATATATATATTATATATATATATATATATATATATATTATACATATATTCCAATTTATTTCAAACCGCTTTTGCAAATACTTATAAAATAACAACACTCTTACATTACTCAAATTTCCTTCATTTACGTGTTTATTCATCGTCTCCTTTTAACACAAGCTCTCTCTCTCTTCTCTCTCCCCTCTCTCTCTGGTTAGATCTTGTAATTCAAGCTAGAAAGTGATTGTGATTCCGAGAAAATGGCTCCAACTCTGAGCTCTGCTGATGCTGAGAAGATTTCCACGCTTAAATCTGATGTCGCCACCCTCGATCAGATCAGGTTTTCTTCTCCCTTTCTCTCTCTAATTTTTTTTATTTTTTCCTTTTTCCGAAGCATTACAGATGGTGATTTCTCTAGATCTAACATTGATTAATTTTGATTTTATTTATTGTTCAGTGAAAATGAGAAATCTGGATTTATCAATCTGGTGGCTCGCTACCTAAGGTATAGTGATAATTATCCGCAGTTTTCCGCCATTAATGCATCCGCTTTTGATTGCTTCTTAATTAGAAATTAGGAGACGTATTTTTGGAATTTTTTTTTGGCATTTATGCCGAATTAGGAATGCATGCCGCCTGTGTAGGTCAGTGTAGTGTGTTTGAGTTACTAATCCTTGAGCTTCAGAGAATTTTATATTTCAGCAATTAACAGATTTAGCGACTCGATTTTTTGAATATTCAATTAGATTTGCTGTACTGTTTTAGCATCAAGGAATTGTGGTCTTGAAATTGTTCATTGAATTAGGTGTTTCATCAAATCCTATCACGAGCTGTATTTTCTGGATTAGATGACAGTATTATTACCTTATGATTTCCGCAAAGCTGAATTTTTACGGTTTTTTGTTATTTGGCTGCAAATCAAAGTGGTGAAGCTCAACATATAGAGTGGAGTAAGATCCAGACACCAACTGACGAGGTGGTGGTGCCGTACGATACCTTAGCCCCTGTTCCTGAAGGTGTCTTAAATCTTGATCTTTCTTTTTTCACGTTTATCATCTTTATTTCATGTTAATTATTTGACTATGAATCAATCGAAATTGGTTCGTAATTAATTGGCTTTAGTTTAAAGATGCAGTAAACTAAGCTATTTTTGTTATTCCAGATGCTGCAGAGACCAAGAAGCTTCTGGACAAACTTGTGGTGTTAAAGCTCAATGGAGGCTTGGGAACTACAATGGGATGTACTGGTCCAAAGTATGACTTTACAGTTTTCCGCATTTAATTGATCAATTTTAGATGGTTTTGCGTATTGTTTGGTGATTGGTCCAAGGAATTTCTTAAATCATTTTGCATTTGCATCTCACTGCATTAGTTTCTACAGGCTGTTAAGATGAATATTATGATGTATAACGGATAATATGACATTGAGGCTGTTGATTACCTTGACGGTGATAACTAAAATAGATAATTAATGAACAACAGTCGTAAAATTTGTTGCCACTCTCCATTAGCATTACGGTACGACGATTTGCTTGACATTGCATGATGATTGAAGAAGAACATTTTGATGTGGTTTTATACCACTCTGTAATATGTATCAAACTTAAAACTGTGTTTATTACTCTTGACATCGTATTTATGCAGTTTTGAGATTTTATACTCAATAGCAGAAAAATAATTATCAATTCACATCAGAAGTTTAAAAAACACTGCAGAACGTTATATATCTGCATTAAGTTGTTGTAAATGTTCACCGGATCAGAGTTCAATACTTTAGAAACAAGTGGGAATTACTATGTCTCAGCACCTAAGAACCTCTATTTCCCTATTCGTACTAGCTTATCATGATCTGCAGATTTGGATATTTATCGTTCATGAATGTGCAATTATGCTCTCTCGATGTTATTTACTTATTTTCCATGAACTTTCAGTTGTAACTGTATGTTTCTTTGGCCCAGGTCGGTTATCGAAGTTCGCAATGGCTTGACATTTCTGGATTTAATAGTCATCCAAATTGAGGTATTGTGTGCACTAAATATTCTCCTATACACTTTCAGGCTCATGTAGCTAAAATATCTAGTTACTTGCAGACACTGAATGCCAAATACGGGTGCAATGTTCCCCTGCTATTAATGAACTCATTCAACACTCACGATGATACATTGAAGGTGAAATTTCAATATAGCTGCAAATAGTATTTTCCACATTTACTAAGTCATCTGCTGATTTTTTCTCTCTGTGAATTGTAGATTGTTGAGAAGTATGCCAACTCAAAGATCGACATTCATACATTTAACCAGGTTTACAGCTATCTGCTTTCTATATCTTGAAAACTATGATAAACTCCACAATTTTTAATTATTGAGGGAGGCAACATTTCACATTGTTAATTTAAAATTCCCTGCAATTTCCAGAGCCAATATCCTCGTCTGGTTGTTGAAGATTTCAAACCACTTTCTTCCAAAGGAAATACTACCAAGGAGGCATGGTATTGTGTCTTTTAACTCTTTGCTCTTCTGATACTTGAAGAGTTGAACACAAATTAGTTAAATAAGTAATACTGTCATATGGTGTGTATTATTTGTGAAGATAGTAGTTTTTCATGGTATGTTATTGATCAACACTTTGTTCTTAAATATTGATTTACATATCCTATTATCATATTGGTTATATGAATTTTTAAAATTGTATCATTATTAGATTTTAGATCGAAAAAATATTTTCTTCGCAATTTAATTATTTCTTTGTAGTTACTGTACTGATTAGTACATCGAGCAGCGCTTCAATTATTTGATCCAAATTGGTTTGTCTGAGGTTTATGTTATATATGAATAAGTGCTCTAAAGCCTAACTTATTGCTACCCGAGCCTCATTACTTCAGATTTCTTAGTTTGTTAACTTTTTGTTTTTCATTTCATCTCAGGTACCCTCCTGGTCACGGAGATGTCTTTCCTGCTTTTAAGAACAGCGGGAAGCTTGATGCATTGTTATCACAGGTATAGCCCTCAAGATGCTGTATTTATACACTTCACTATGCATTATGACTCGAGTAAACTTACCAAGTATTGTTGATCTCTTCTTGTACTTTCCTCACAGGGCAAGGAATATGTCTTTGTTGCCAACTCGGATAATTTGGGTGCCGTTGTTGACTTGAGTATCCTTAGTGACTGGGACATGATTCTTACATCTCATATGAACACAAAATATACTTTTCTTGGTTGCCACTTTATCGTAATTACTTACCATATAGCAAATATCTTTTTACTTATAGTGTCTGTCATGTGGTTGAATTCAAGTGATGTGCAAAAAGATATCCTTAATTCATTGTCGCAGAAATCCTAAGTCATTTGATCACAAATAAGAATGAGTATTGCATGGAGGTTACACCTAAAACACTAGCTGATGTGAAAGGTGGTACTCTAATCTCTTACGAAGGAAAAGTACAGGTATGTTTCTACAACTAGCTGTCTTCTAGTCTAGTACAATTTCTTTTTTTCTTTTTTCATTTACAGCTATTGACTATTGCGTGGTTGATGTTACAGCACTAGTACTAACAACTAAAATTTTTACTAACCTTAATTTTTGTATCGTCTGCTGTACAGCTACTGGAAATAGCGCAAGTTGCTGATGAACATGTGAGCTTCCTTTTCTTCCATAATATTCTTCTATTTGTATCACGGTACTATTAATCATGTTAAAAGACAAGTCATGTTAACAGGAGCGTTAATTTTCATAAGTAGTCATCGTTTCAAATAACAAATACCCCTTTGAAATTTGTCTTTGTTTACGAATTTAACCTCAATAGCTGCAATTCTAAAAATAGAAACAAATGTCACAGTGGTATTTATAATTTACAGTTAGTCGAAGCTTCAAGGATAGTTTTTGCAATGTATGATATTTTAAATGCTAAATAGATGAAGGCTATGAAGTGAGATATTGCACCTGTATCTTTAATTACGTATTTTTATATAAGGATCATTGGACCAAGCAATATTTCTTTATTCCATTTGGGTTTGTTTAAAGCATGTTTCTGGTCATCCCTGCAGATAATTTCATCCTACTAACTGCTGTAGACGTCATGGCTAATTTATACATAATTATGTTTCATACAGGTCAATGAATTTAAGTCAATAGAGAAGTTCAAAATTTTCAACACCAACAACCTGTAAGTTAGCCAATCATCTTCTTCGAGCTAAATTTCTAATTCAGTGAATGTAAATACATTTTTAGGTCAACACGTGACAATTTTTATGTAACGAAATCACGCAGGTGGGTCAACTTGCAGGCGATCAACAGACTTGTTGAAGGAGATGCACTGAAGATGGAAATTATTCCCAACCCAAAGGTATCTAATCTATAACCTTCATTATTAATCAGGGTTAAATTAAGTTATTATTATTTTACCCATCTTCCTGATCAATTCAATCAATTGCTAGGAAGTTGACGGGATCAAAGTTCTTCAACTTGAAACTGCCGCAGGTGCTGCAATAAGGGTAAACAACCACCTAATGACTATTAAATGTTTCATTAATTCTCGTTATGGCTAGTGATTGCCTACTTCTATGAATTACTGATAACATTCCTCTCTCTCTCTCTATCTAGTTTTTTGATCATGCTATTGGAATTAACGTTCCGCGATCCCGTTTCCTTCCCGTGAAGGCATCTTCCGATTTGCTCCTAGTCCAAGTAAGTTTATAAATATGATGTCGTGATTAATTATTGAAAATGCATCCCATATTGTTTCTTAAGAATGAAAACTGAATGAAAGGTGTTGTTTTACAGTCTGATCTGTACACCCTGTCTGATGGCTTTGTGACCCGAAATCCAGCTAGGGCTAATCCTGCCAATCCTTCCATCGAATTGGGACCCGAGTTTAAGAAGGTTCACACTTTATTTATTTATTTATTGAGGAAAAAAGGTTCAGATTCATTTTTAGTGACGTTATTTGCATTAATCTCGTGTAGCTCTCTACTTAGGAATGTAACGAGAGACTTTTGTGTACACAGGTTGCCAGCTTCTTAAGCCGGTTCAAGTCTATCCCCAGCATCATTGACCTGGATAGTTTGAAGGTGACAGGTGACGTTTGGTTTGGAGCTAGCATTACTCTAAAGGTACTCTCGACTTTCATTTGAATTTGATATTTGTTACATTCTTAGCAACTTCTCCAATTTCTGAAATTTGGATTCTTTTTTTGTTTAATAATCTTTTCGGCTATTAATTTTGATTTCAGGGTAAAGTTACTATCACTGCGAAACCTGGTGTCAAGCTAGAAATCCCTGATGGAGCAGTGATTGCTGACAAGGTAACACGCTCGAGCTCGTTTCGTGTAAAAAAATGATTTAAAATTACAAAATGACATTATTTTTCCCTTACTTTTGCTTAAAATTTTGTTCAGGAAATCAACGGTCCTGAAGATATATAATGAATATATACGATGAGAGAGCTACGACTACCTCTCCTGTCGAAACGAGAGCTTCTCAAATATAATGAATTACTCTTTTTTTTGGTTGAAATATGTTAGTTTTGAACATGAGAAAAATAAATGGGATTTCGGTTTTATGTATTTCCGCTACATAATCGCCACTACAAGTGGCGAGTTAATAGTATAAAGGTGACGCTGCCTTGTTCTAACGAAACCTTATAACGTGTCAAATTTACTCACATCATATATTTGACGGTGTTAAAATTTTATAAGGTTTCTTGATATGCTCTTCTTGTTTTGATCATATTATTTACAAAGTTCTAGTTTATTTATTTTTATTTTTTATTTTCTTATATCATTTATTTATTATTATAGAACACGTGGAAATACAAAACCTGAAACTTAACCAACACTACAAACTCGCTCCCGATCTATGAAATGCCTACACCAGATTAAAAAACATCGAGTGATTCACTATTGATCCATACAAATAACTACCCACTAAACATACATACAAACGAGTGTGTGTTATTAATAGTGCAAAATTATTTGGTGTATTTCACCGGGTGTAGCGTACCATCCACAGAACTGTCGCTCCCATAATGAAAAGTATATCTATTTTTCTGTTACTTCTTTTAGATAAGCACTGTACACATCGGTTTATCATTATAATGCAAATCGTCGATCATGTATTAAAATGCTCTAGAATAACACAACTTATATTATTTTTACATATAAGATTTTACTATTCGTACCTTTTTCCAAGACTAGAAAGGTGCATGTGTGTGCTGATTTCTTGATTTCTTGATTTCTTCTATAATGTTTCCCTTTTTTATAGTTTTATTTAAATAATAAGGGCAAATTGAAAAAAGTACAAGACAATGGCTACTTAATTAATTAGTTTTAATTTTAAAAAAATCAATACACCAGATTGGGGCATTCCGAGAATTGAACTCGGGACCTCTCGCACCCTAAGCGAGAATCATACCACTAGACCAAATGCCCTCGACGGCACAAACCAAATGATTGTTGTTAAGTGAATCAAAATTGGTTCAGTATTTTATATGTTATCGGGTTAAATACACTTTGCACCCTGAAATATAGCTTATGTAAAACTTACCCCCTTGGTATCATTTATAACAGTTATCCCATCAACATTAATTATTTTATATTTTAAAATTTAAAAAAATAATAAACATAACAATCTGATAATAAAAATTAATTATTTGGTTTGTGCCATTGAGGGCATTTGGTCTAGTGGTATGATTCTCGCTTAGGGTGCGAGAGGTCCCGAGTTCAATTCTCGGAATGCCCCAATTATTCATTTTTAATATTAATGTTTGATTTTAATTAGACATTATACAATTATGTAAAAGCACGTGAATATTTTTAGAAGTTTTCTAGGGTTTGTAACATTAAGAGATAATTAATCTACAGCACTACAAAATGTACAAAACAAAATATAAGAAGACACAAATCATTCAAATTAAACTAATATAGTAAAAAAAAAAGTATTTAAAAAGTAAAATTAAAAATAATGATTAAGAGATTGAGATAAAATGCTACAATCTTTTTTTGCGGAAGAACACAGTTTGTCTCGATCTACTGTCTTTTCTCGCTTTATCTCTCAGAGTATTTATGCTAAAAATTGGACACGTTTCATGAAACATCAAATTTTCTAGCTAATTGCATACATCACTAGACCAACTAAATATGCATTGAAACATGAAATAACATATTCAACATGCTAATTGAAAGAATATACCAAAAATGCAAGAAACGACAATGTGAATGCTAATGTAACGAATCATGAGCTAAGTAAGTGCAAATTAGTGCACTTTCGTAGCACTACCAGTGCTCAATTTGATAACCATTTGTACGCCGAGCACATTGAAGCGTAAAATTAATGCAATGGTTTATTTCATGCGTGAAATACATCGAGTAAATTGTAATCATTCATTCATTCCACATAAAAACACACATACTCGTACTGGTTTGTAGATAATCGGTAAAAACCAAAAGGTATAACTTAATGAAATAAAACAACTCAAGACGATAATAATAATAATAATAATAATAATAATAATAATAATAATAATAATAATAATCATGATAATCGTAATTAATCATAATAATGAAGTGTCGCCTTGATCTTTTAAATAGTGGATCTTATTAGGATATATATGTACAATGGTGACCGACTCCATATTCAGTTGCTTTGTTATTTTTTTACGACAAATTAATATTTGAAAAGCAATTGTGGGAAGTGAGCCGCAGAAGCTCCATTGATGCCTTTGTTAGTGCAACCATCGATAGAGATCACAACATATAGATGCATAATTGGTATTTAAGTGGTGTCATCACCTTTGACCACTGAGATGATAGATTATTGATGCCTTATAGAGTCGATGCTACTACTCTCTTGCAGCATCAACATCTTAGCTTGTTCTCTTTTCGTACAAAAGTCTGATACAAAGAAAATAATTCAATGATATTAAAATGACGTAGAAAAGAAAATTAATTATAACAAATCGTTGAATAAACTTTATTGTGCAAATTGTGTGCTAAATAAATTGCATTATATTTGAACTAAAAATGCACACATAAATATTTAAATCCATTTCAGTTACAGTAGTGCAAGATTTTTAATGGTATAAAGTATAAACCACTGAAAGCTATTATTTGACTCGGAATTTATCGAATTAACTCGTTCGTCGTTTAGTTGCGTAAGGTTGTAGTAGTTCAAATATCACGAAAAGATGTTAGACATTATATTGAGCTAATAACATGATTTTTTTTTTAATTCTTTTTGCCATACGTTTGTTAGATCATATGTTGATTATCTCTAAGACCATAATCCTAAGACCACTCATTAAGTTATGTCCAAATAAATCACACACTTTGAAACTCGAACATGTTCATGCACATGATAAATATGTCTCAATTGTGCATCACAGACCTTATTGGTCGTTAAATATCATCTATCTAGTATTATAATTTTATGATTTCTTTCTACTATGGAGATTAATGGACATTTTATTTAATAATTTCCAAATTAAAGAAGCCAAAATACTCTGACACTAGTAAAAATGTCATAATTTTCAAGATGCGTCCCAGTTGATATGTGTGGAACAACATTTACAGGATTTTCACGTGATAAGACCTATCACTACTAATCATACCAATCAAATAAGGCCTAAATAAAACAAAATTGTAGATTAACTGTATAGAGACAAAAATTAGTAACTTTTTATTTATTTATTTATTTATTTATTTATTTATTTACATGTGCTCTTCTTTTCTCATCTTTGTAGAAATAAAAGAGATTCTCTTTCGAAAAAGGAAGTCAAAGAGAGGTAATTACACCAACAATGAATACACCGAGTAACGGGAATAGCACCGTATTAATTCCAATTTAGTCGTGCAGATGTAGTGGATATTTATTTGTGATATATTAAAAATTATATTATGCTAATTGCATGATAAATAAACCACGCGTCGTATTTATATATATATATATATATATATATATATATATATATATATATATATATATATATATATATATATATATATATATATATATATATATATATATTGGAAATCTAGTGGATATATATCTATTTATGATGAATCAACAAGTACCAAAACTTAATGCAATACAATATTTTAAGGGCTAAATACACTTTGCACCCCTGTAGTATAACCTATGTAACACTTACTGTCGTAAAGTATTATTTGTAATACTTACCCCTCAACATTAAATATTTTATATTTTAAAACTAAAACATAATAAACATAACAATCTAATAATTATTGGATCATAAAAATTGAAAAGTAACTATAATTAAATTATTGAAAAAATAAATAATATATATTGTAAAATAATGAATGAAAATATATTTTAAGAAATTAATGAACTAAAATAAATTAAATACTTAATACTACTATTATTTATATATTGATTTCTTAAAATTTATCGATATGAATATATTCGATTTATTGGTCAAATACTAATTAGATGTTATTTATTAAATATGTATCCAACAGTACAAGAAAATATTTTTAAATTTTAAAATATTGCATTTTTCAACAGATATTTTTAGTTGTATAATTTAATTACTCTTTTAGTTATTATTTTAAATAAAAAAAGATAATTTTAAGGTTTTAGTATTGAAAATATAAATGGAATTGAGCTTGAGGGGGTAAGTGTTACAAATGATGCTTTAGGGGGTAAGTGTTACATATGGTATACAATAGGGGTGCAAGTGTATTTAACGCATCATTTGAACTTCTTTCGTATCAAAACAATCACAATTTTCAGGCCAAAACTTTAATGGTATCAACCACTGAAAGCTGTTATTTGACTGACAATTTATCCATGCAACCAGTTCAACATGTAGTCTTAATAAAAAAAAAAATTCATCATGTAGTCTCGTAAAATTGTAGCAATCCAAATAACACGAAAAGATATTAAGCGTTATTAGGGGCGGCCCTCGCCCCTGGCCCATGGCGAGCGAGGACCAGACCCAAGGCCCACTTACCAATGGGAGCACAATTTGTTTTTTAAAATAATATATATTACGTATACCGTTTTTTATATTATTTCTTATTTCTTCTTCAATGAACTCAACTGCATTCCAATCTCGAAGCCTCAATTCTTTTTTGCGTTTCCCCTTTGTTCCGCAATTAACTCAACGGCAAACTCCTATCTCCATGCTCTAAATTTGTTTCACATTTCTTTCGCAATCAATTTAACGGTAAACTCATATCTTCAAGCCCTAAAATTATCTTCTCAAAGCAGATCTTGAATTCCCAAGATTTGCCTCTCCAAATTCGTCTCCTCCACGATGTCGATAAATTGGTTGTTTATTATCAGTATTTTCCATATTCAAATCCACAGCAAAAAAATTATTATTGGAGATAAATTTTGTTCAACTTCATTCTCCCAAAGTGAGGAAATAAACAGCTTGAAGAAAATTGTCCCATCATTTTGCCATCACTGCCTACTTTCCGCTCACTTTGAGACTTCCGGTGAAAGGGCTCCAGCAATTCCGGACATCCTATTTTCGAAGGAAGAATAGCCTCCAGTGAATTAGAGAAACTTTGTTTAAATCAATAGAAATTAGAGATAATGCCTAACTAACTAAAGATGTTGAATGATTAACATTAAGAGAACTTTCAAATTTTGAAATTATATTAAGTTTTGTCATTTGGTATGATGTTTTGCTTCAAATAAATGTAGTTAGTAAAAAGTTACAATATGCAAATATGAATCTTGATG